TGCGCGCGCTCACGTGCACACGCTATGAAAATGATGTAGGCTAATGAGCATTTTGCATGTTTTTATTCTCTATAGTTTATGATGCTAGGAGGCCTCCCTGAATTAGCTAATTTGTAGAAACAGCAACCACTCGGCAGCAAGCATGGCTTTTACCTGCAAACTAACCATTTCCTTTATCTCTCACTCACTCAGCCAATATCCCCGCTTCCCCAGGTCACCTCTGGGCCAGGTAACAAATAACTAGAGAGCACCCCTATCTCCCAGTAGGGGGTGTGCAGGAGGCAGCTGATCGAGCCTAAACCTCCTCAGTTTGGCCCATTCCTTCCCCACAAAGCCACAACAAAGGCTTGTGCTCATGGCTTCTCCTGCCCCTTATCCTTTCCACCTGCTGCTCCCCCAGGGGGCCCTGCATAGTGCATCGTGACACCTGTTCCTGGGGACCTGTGAGCATAAACACGTCTTCCTTCACACAGTCGTTGCTTATAACAAACCCCAGGTGCCCTCTAAAACACGTGTGTGCGGGGCAGGTCTGTAAGTGTGGCTCCCACTTTCCACACAGGAGGGTGGCACTGGAGGCAGGTCACATGGGCAGAGGGTGGAAGGCGGTGCCCTGGAAGCTGATGAGACTCCACTTCCAGCTATGGTTCTATGGTCCCTGTCTAGCTCAGGTTCTTTTCTAGGAAAAAAAAAAAAAAAAGGAGAAATGTTATTAGATAATTTCAAGGTCCCTTCTAGCTCTAAATGTCTTTGGACCTAGATGGCTTCTAAAATAGGTAACGAAGCAATATATAAATGTTTATGGTATAACATGAAGTTGGAAGGGGAAAAAAAAAACAGGATACAAAATGACACTACGTATATCCTACATTCCAACATGGCGGAAGACTGGAAGATTATATACAAAGAAGAACACTTTTAATGAAAGTTGAGATTATGGGTCAAAATGCATATTTCACATTTAAAATAAAAGCCCAAAGTTCATATCAGAACAGAGCTGGTGTCCTCCTCTCATCATTTCTGCATCCTTTTATAAATGCCCTGTATACGTTTCTAGAAGCCCAAATGGGTCTTATTGGGCCCAAACCAAGGTGGCAGCAGAACTGTGTTCCTTCTAGAGCAGTGGTTCCCTACCTTTCTAATGCCATGACCCTTTAATACAGTTACTCATGTGGTGGTGACCTCAACCATAAAATTATTTTTGTTGCTACTTCATAACTGTAATTTTGCTACTGTTATGAATCATAATGTAAATACCTGTGTTTTCCAATGGTCTTAGGCGACCCCTGTGAAAGGGTCATTCGACCCCCAAAGGGGTCGAGACCCACAGGTTGAGAACCACTAGCAGGGTCGCTGTGATTACATCCGCCCCACTGGGATAATCCAGAATCACCTTCTCATCTCAAGGGCAGTTGATGAGCACCTTTCATTTCATCTGCAGCTTTAACTCCCCTTTGCCTTTTGCAGAGCTCATTCACAAGCCACAGGGGTGGGGGAGGGGACCATCTTGGGGTGGGTGTAATACTCTTCTCTGGGATTCTATTCCATCGAAAGAGGACCCCTAGAGAGCCCCTTGGCATCTTCTTGATTGTCCTTGATCTTTTCACCCAGTCTAAGATGCAGAAATGAGGCATAGGAAAGAGTACAGACCCTACCCCAGGATTTGCCTTGACCCTGTGGTCCTCAGCAAACATTTACAGGGCGCCTTCTGTGTGCCACAAATTAAGGCAGGGAGCCCCTCCTGCCTTTGTGGCAGCCCTAAGGAGATGTCTGACTGATGTCTTCCCCCAATGGCTCCTGGACTGCAAAAGAGCGCAGGCCGGAATGAGGGACCCCCTTCCTGCCAGTGCACAAATTTCATGCACTAGGCCTATAGTAGAATATATAAAGAACTATCAAACCTCAACAATGAAGCCCTGGCTGGGTAGTTCAATTGGTTAGAGTATTGACCTGATACACCAAGATTGAGAGTTCAGTCCCTGGTCAGATGCATATAAGAGGCAACAAATGAATTCATGCATAAGTGGAATAACAAATTTATCTCAGTCTCTCTCTCTCTCTCCTCCTTCCCTCCCTCCCCTCTCTCAAATCAACCAATTAAAATTTATCTCAGGTTTTCTCTCTGTCTCTCTTTCTCTTTCTCCCTCCCTCCCTCCCCTTCCCACCCCTTCTTTCTCAAATCAACCAATTTAAAAAAAAATCTTTCTTTTTCTTTTTTTTTCTTTTTTTAAGAAACCTCAACAACCTGAATTCAAAAAATCTAATTATAGTATGGGCAAAAAAGTTGAACAGATATTTCACCAATGAGGAAACATGGATGGCAAAGAAGCACATGAAAAAATATTTAATATCGTCAGCCATTTGGGAAATGCAAATTAAAAATTTAAGCCACAATGAGATAAGACCACACACTGGTGTGGCTCAGTGGATAGAGTGTCGGCCTGTGGACTCAAAGGTCCCAGGTTCAATTCCGATCAAGGGCATGTACCTAGGTTGCGGGTGCATCCCGTGGGGAGTGTGCTGGAGGCAGCTGATCAATGTTTCTCTCTCATCGATGTTCCTAACTCTCTGTCTCTCTCCCTTCCTCTCTGTACTCTCTGTAGAAAATCAATAAAATATATTTTTAATAATAAAAAAAGACTACACACCAATTATAATGGCTAAAATAAAAAATAATGATACCACCAAATGCTGATTAAGATGTAGAGAAACTGGCCCTGGCCGGTTTGGCTCGCTAGAGTGTCAGCCTGGGGACTGGAGGGTCCCAGGTTCGATTCCGGTCAAGGGCATGTACATTGGTTGCTGGCACATCTTCAGTGCAGGAGGCAGCTGATCGATGTTTCTCTCTCATTGATATTTCTCACTCTCTATCTCTCTTCCTTCCTCTTTGTAAAAAACCAATAAAATAAATTTTTAAAAAGTTTAAAAGAAAAAAAAAAGATGTAGAGAAACTGGAACATGGATACACTGCTAGTGAATACCTAAAATGGTATAGCCACTCAGGAAAATAGTTTGGTGGTTTCTTACCAAACTAAATATGCAGTTACCTTATCACCCAACAATTGCACTCTTGGATATTTATCACAGAAAAACAAAAACTCATATTCACACAAAAATGAATGTTCATAGCACTTTCATTCATAATAGCAAAACAACTATAGCAGTAGGGGCAGGGAGGTTGGACAAATTTTGATAGACCTACACAATAAAATAATACCATTCAGCAATAAAAATATTAACTATTAACATGTGCAATAATCTGAGTGAAACTCAAGACATATGCTTAGTGATAAAAGCCATTCCAAAAGGTTAGGTACTATACAATGTTTGATTCCATTCATATAACATTGTCCAAATGGTAAAACGCTAGAGTTGGAGAACAGATTAGTGGCTGCATGGGGCCATGGGCAGAAAGAAGGGGCATGAGTACTTACTACAGAGATAGCAGAGGGAGTTCTGTGCTGATGGGACAATTCTGTGTCTTTACTGTTTTATTACAAGAACCTATACATGTGATAAAATTGCATACAGCTACACACACGTGTAAGTGAATGAAGGTGTTAAAGTGATTTAAAAATAAGGTCTGGCCCTAGCTAGTTTGGCTCAGTGGTTAGAGCATTGGCCCTGAAGGGTCCTGGTTCAATTCTGGTCAAGGGCACGTACCTTGCGTGCAGGTTCCCTGAGCCTGGTCCGGGTGTGTGGAGGAAGCAACCAATTGATGTGCCTCTCTCACATCAATGTTTCTCTCTGTCTCTCCCTCTCCATTCCACTCTCTCTAAAAATCAATGGGAAAATATCCTTGGGTGAGGATTAACCCAAAAATAAATAAATAAATAAATAAATAAATAAAACAAAATAAAGTCAATAGTATAGTTAACAGTATTGTGCCAATGTCAATTTCCTGGTCTTTAAATTATTTTTTGTAGTTACATAATACATAATCACTGGGAGAAGCTGAGGGTACTAATTTTACGAACTTTTACGAATCCATTAGTATTTCAAAAGGAAATGTTTAAAGAAATGTTTGAATGAAAAGTGAGAAAAGAAAACCATCTTTGCCAAAGGCCTTTCCGTTGCACAGGGTGGTTCTCTCTGGCAGGTGCTTCGTCCACAATAACCTGCTTCCCAGCTCTTCTCCCCAGATACTCAACGTACCGTCCTTCTGAAAAGTTTACAGCTGAATGCACGGTGCCTTAGACCAGGACTACAGAAAAGCTGCATAAATAAAAACAGTTCAAAAGAACCCCTGCATACCAGGTTCGCCGGATTGTTACTAGTTTAACCCACTCACTTTATCGTCTGGGATGGATCCACCTGTATCATTGTTTCTGAACCATTTCAGGGTAAGTACAGACAGGGATACTTTGGTGTTCATTTCCTAAGAATATTCGTTTATGCAATCACAACAGTGTTATCAACTTCAGTAAATTTAACCTCGGTTCAGTGCTTTAGCCCATCATTCCGATTCCACTTTCTCGATATAGTGGCCCCAATATTTTCCAGTACAGAATCCAGCCAGCCTGGGGTCAGGGGCCGCCCTGAGTGGCCACGTCTCTTTGAGAGCCTTCATAGGTCCAGCTTTGCAACCAGTCTCTCCTGGTCACCCGGCACCCAGAATTCACCTGTAAACTGAGATGATGGCAGCTGCCCCACTCACCTCTTTCTTAGTAAAGGCGCTTTAACAATTTGTAAGAACTAAATGGAACATTTCTCTTCTGCATCATTATTCCCCAGAAGAAGCGTCAACATTGTATTGTGGGTTGGGGCAGCAGAGACCGGCTTTGGGCGGAGGAGGCCAGCCAGGGGAGAGAAGGAGGAATTTGGAAAGAAACCCTCCGGGGAAGTGGGGACCCAGGCCAAGCCCAGGACTCCCCCTTCCCACCCCTTCACCTGGAGCACCGGCGGCCAATGGGCGGGCGGCCCGGGTCCCCGTGGCCAATGGGGCGGCGGCGCGGCGCGCGCCCCGGGCTTATAAGGGCGCGCGGCGGCGGAAAGTGAAAGTGGGGCGCAGCCGCGGGCGCCGCCGCGGGGTCCGGGGAGCCCAGACGAGGAGCCCAGTCCTCTATCGACGGGATGCTCCGGACTCCCGAGCCGCGGCCCGGGGAGGAGGGGGCGGCCACCCAGGCCAAGCCGCTCACCTCCTTCCTCATCCAGGACATCCTGCGGGACTGCCCGGGCGGCCGGCCGCGGCCCCCGCCTCTGCCCCGCCAGCAGCGCGCGGAGCGGCCGAGCCCGGAGCCGGAGCCCACGGCGGGGAGCGGCGGTGCGGACGCGCCGGAGGAGCAGGCGAGCGCCCGGCCCCGCGCCGCGCCCGGGGAGGCCGCGTCGCCGGCGGAGACGGAGCCAGGTAAACCCTCCTCGGGGCCCCGGAGGCCGGGCCGGGCCGGGCGGGTGGGGACCCGCCGAGGGCGGACTGACCTGCAGGCTGCGCGGGCGTGAGGACCGGTCCGAGGCGCGCCTCCCGGAGCTCCGGCTGCTGCGGGGATGCGGGATGCGGGATGCGGGATGCGGGGATGCGGCGGGAGGGACCTCGCTGCCTCCTGCCGCGGGTGCGCCTCCTCGGAGATGAACCCTGAGCCCCAGCGTTCAGGCGGCGCAGGATGCAGACATCGGCCTGACTCCGCGCAGGATGCTCCGAGCTCCCGGCTCCAAGGGTTCCCGCGCCCAGAGCTCAAAAACCAGAGCTGACGCAGCGCCCACCGTGCCCCCACCCACACCCCTAGTCCCAGTGAAACCCCACCCGGCCCCCAGCCATCCCGCGACTGACTGCTGATCGGTGCCAGCCCCGCTTTACCTCTTAGCATTTACAGTACGAATGTACCCCCAATAACTGATAATCACTAATAGGAAGACATTAGAGTGTGCCCAACGAATTAGAATGTGCCCTTTTGCTTCCCAATCACAGGAGCAGCAAAAACAATCAAGTTGGGAGATCCCTCTGGTCTTCGGGACATTTAAAGTAGACTTATTTCCTTTCCCATCACTCCTTATGAGGTATCCTAAACGCCTCACTTGGGGGGGGGGGGGGATTAAAGCCAGAAAAGGTGCTTTCCTTTAGCCCTGAAGCCTCTCCTGTCACACAAGCCCTCCCCGGCCACCCGGAGGTCACACCGGAGGCCCTGGGTGCTTCACAAGGTGTCTTCTTTCCCTGTCTTCTCCCCCCACCCCCTTCCCACTGCCCTCAGGACCCAGATCCAGAATCCCTGCTTAAATCTAGGGGACTGTCCAGCAGGAAGCTCTGCCACTAACAGCCTCTTCTTTGGGTTCTTGATGGCTATTAGGAAACTAATACATAGTATATACATCTTCACTCACTCCGGGCCTGAGAATGCCTTGGTCATGTGAAAACCGTGAAATGTATCCAAGATGACAGTGGGCTGTTTGTTCACTCACCAAAGAGATAAGGGTGGACTGAATTCAGCCCTCTTCCCGGCCACCATGTAACATTTCCCTTCCCATCCCCTCTTCTCCCCTCTCGTTTCCAGATAGGCCCTCGGAGACTTATCTGCTGGACTGTGAGGACACTTCGGGCGCCTCGCCCAGCCTGCCCCACGCCCCCAAGCAGCCGCAGAAGCGCTCCCGGGCCGCCTTCTCCCACACCCAGGTCATCGAGCTGGAGAGGAAGTTCAGCCACCAGAAGTACCTGTCGGCCCCCGAGAGGGCTCACCTGGCCAAGAACCTGAAGCTCACCGAGACCCAGGTGAAAATATGGTTCCAGAACAGGCGCTACAAGACCAAGCGGAAGCAGCTCGCCTCGGACCTGGGCGGTCTGGAGAAGCACTCGCCCTTGCCGGCCCTGAAGGACGAGGGCTTCTCCCGGGCCCCCCTCATCTCCGTGTACAACAGCTACCCTCACTACCCCTACCTGTACTGCCTGGGGGGCTGGAGCCCCGCTTTCTGGTAACGCCAGCTCCGAGGACACCTGCTCAGAGGACAGACGTGTACGTGAGCAGACACTGCCTGCTCCAGGTTGTCTTTCCTCAAGGCCAAAGGGCCAGGGCGGGAGGACTGGGGAGCAAGAGGCATGCGGACCAAGACTGTTGGAGGTTTGCATGGAAATTCCGGACTCTTCACTGGTGGGCCAAGGAGAGGTGTGGACCCGTGAATAATTTCATATCCAAATAGCTCCCCACACACATAATATAGGTCATTTTTGCTTGCAGACACCTGTCTGAAGTGGGGAAGGGTAGAGCCAAGTGCTGTTTCTCAAGAACTGAGTGGGCTGTTGTGTTTGCTGTCGCATTGCTGCTGAGGATTGCGTCCCTGGAGCTCCGTTCTCCCATGTAACCGGGCATAGACTCTGAAAGAGCAAACTTGAGGGAGAGAGGACAGCCAAGACGAGGAGGTCACCCACCGAATTAGACTAAAGTTCAAAAGCCTCATGGGCCTTGGAAGATGACCAAGGTGTTTCTCTTGGTCTGTCAGAGAGGGAAGGAGAGGGTCTCGCCGCCGAGAAACCTGTCATGCTCAGGTTTAGTCCTTTTTACAGAGTTCACCAACTTAAGTATTTGCAAGGTGGTCCAAGCAGACTGAGAGTTCCTCGCCGCGGGTGTTAGACAAGCTGTAGAACCAGCACTGCTGTAAGCAGCGGGCCCAGGCCAGAAGCTGCAGGGGCATTGCAATTTTACCAGCAAAAGGTAAAAGCAAACCAAAAACCTCCCAGGGCCCGAGAATTTTGAATGAGGAGCTCCTGGAGTTTTCGGGCGATCTTACACACCACATCACGACGATCACATAACTCTTCACGCGCCTCCCGTCTTATATTTTCTGTCCCTTTCCCACAGCAATCACCCGCTGAATGGCTCCTTTTCAACCCAGACTTGCGGTCTGGCTGCACCTAACAGATGCCTTCCTTATTTAGCCCGAGATCTGGTCCAGTTTTTTATTTTGTTTGTGTGCTGTTTTCTCTCTCTCTCAAACTTTATCTTTCCTGGGTTAAACAAAGGAGGAGGACAGGTTCAGAATTGGCTAAAATACATGCATTTGTGTGTTTTTGAATATGTCTAACAATTCTCTTTTTTTTTCTTTTAAAAATATACAGCATCAAATCCCAAATCCTATTTAAAGATTTGACAGCTCCAGGGGTCACTGCTGCTTTTATAGGACTTTCTGGTGGCTGTTGTTACAGTTCAAAGTCTGACAACCCTTTGGAATCCCCACAGGCAGAGGAAGCAAGAGGAATGGCTTTCACACACGGGAAAGCAGTACACAATGCAGGGTCGCTGCCATTGAGCTGGCCGTGGAGATTCAGGACTCAGGGCTTGCGGGGGCGGAAGGGAGGGGGGGCAGGGGAACAGGGCAGTGGAAGATAAGTCTTCCTGGGCCTCAGAGAGCCCAGTCTGGGAGAGAGCACTTTGCAGAAAGAGGCTAAGAAAAAAAAAAGAAACAGTTTTTAAAATGCAACATTATTGTGACTCCCATCACGAAACAAAACATAATTTTCCCAATGCTTCAGGAACTGTGCTTAATGCCTATTAAAAAAAAAAAAATGGCCTAAACCGGTTTGGCTCAATGGGATCGAGCGTCGGCCTGCGGACTGAAGGGTCCCAGGTTTGATTCCGGTCAAGGGCATGTACCTTGGTTGCAGGCACATCGCCAGTGGGGGTGTGCAGGAGGCAGCTGATCGATGATTCTCTCTCATCAATGTTTCTAACTCTCTATCCCTCTCTCTTCCTCTCTGTAAAAAAATCAATAAGATATATATATTTTTAAAAAATGGATCCCCAAAATGAGTCACCGCGTGATTTCAGAGAGAACCAGAGGAGGGCCGAGGAGAAATGTGGCCACCCTTGCGTTCGCATCCTGTTATCTCAGGTGACCTGGAAGAGGGAAGACAGAATTAAGCAAGCCAGTCACTAATGAAGTACCCCAAGGCCTGGAAATCTCTTGATCCCACCACTTAATTCTCTTCAGTGAGAAACCTTTCCATTTCCTCCTCTTAAAAGGGCCAATTTACTGTTGGTGGCAAACCCACCATAGTTGATGGAATGTTGGCCCCTTTCACCCCAGTTTCTAGCGCTCAAACTCCACATTGAAATACTGCAAAACACCACGTGCTGCTGACAATGCTGGGGAGCTGGGGAGCGCAGAAGGCAGCATAACCTGAACCCCTCCCCCCTTTTCCCACGTCTTCCAAGATAAAAATGCTCAAAGCTCATTCTCTGCTCAGTACCTTCTCTCCCACCTCCTAAATTTAAATCTTTCAACCTGCAATTCTACAAGTACTAAACATTTCACTGTGATATATATTGGGTTGCAAAAAAACAAACAAACAGCCTTTGTTTAAAATTATTTGGTTCGTGAATCCATCCTGCCTTTCCCTGCTTGGGACTAGTTATGCTACCCTGTCTGAACTGGCAGAAGGGCATTTGAAGAGCTAGTATGTGGGGTGTCTGGTGGAGGACCTGCAGGGTATCCCAGACCGCTTCACCCAGACAGCCCTCCGTTTTCACCCCTGTGTAATAAAATCAGTTTGGTTTGCTCAACGTGCATATAACAAACCCTGCTCTAATCTATAACATGCCAAGGCCTGTGACTTAAAGTTGAATAAAGTATCCGAACCCAACTTTTATTTTTCTATGTATTTTTTGCAACATGAGTGTTTTAAAAATAAAGGACTGTGTCTTTATTAGACATCCCTGCGTGGTTTTCTGTTTCCTAAAGTCTGTATGGTATGGAGCTTACACGTTTCTTGTTACCTCTCATTCTCCCACCCTCACCCTGCCTGGCTCATCCATGGAGAACAAATCATCAAAAGCGGTCCCATAGCCGAAGCAGACAATGGTCATTCTCTTAAAGGCACCGGTCCCTGTTCCTGGTATGCCAAGTGCAGGGGAAAGGAATTTCTGTCTTCGGTGTAATAATCGCCTGTTCCAGGCCAAGAACACCTTTGTTTAATCGAGAACAGCGGGTTTTTACTTACGTTTCTTGAAGACCCTGGCAGGGACGCGTAGACCTCAATAGAATTCATTTAAAATTCCCCTTTCCCTTCCCACGAGCCCCTGGTCCCTGCATCTCCCTGCAAACGTCACCTTCATCTGGGGCAGAGAGACCTCTTGCAAGCAATACCTCTGAAGCGAAATCACGAGTATTGGAAATAGGTCTCACATAAAATATATGAGTAAGCCCTTCATCCGCCTGCACTTAGGCTAACGTCATTAAAGCCCGCACGCAGAGCCTCATGCACCTGATTACCTGACAGCCTTGGTGGGTTTCTTGCCCCCTCCTTCAAGGAAATGGAAGCTTAAGGAATAAGGCACTCGCTCGAGGTAAAACATACCCGTGTTTCCCCGAAAATAAGACATCCTCCGAAAATAAGACCTAGCGCATGGAAAGATAAGACATCATCCCCTGAAAATAAGACCTAGCGCAACTTTGGGGAGAAAAAAATTAATATGAGACACTGTCTTATTTCCGGGGACACAGGGTATCATAATTTCAAAGTTGGCTCTAATCCCTTAAGTACAGGGCACACACAGGTGGGGCCTCCCGGAGCGTGTTCACATGATGAGATTTAACTCTTTGCCCAGGTCTGCAGGCATTGTCCCCTCCCCGGGAAAGCCCTCAGCTCTCAGATTACAAAGACTCAGGCAGTAAATTCACAAGGGGGATTTTTTTTTAAGCCATTAAAAGTGACTGATCCAGGAAATTAAAAAAAAATCTCTCATCTCTAAGGAAAGTTCTCTGCCTCTCCTTTGCCTCTCTTCCCACTTGCCCTTGGTGCCTCTGATATCTTAGTCTTCTCCCAGCAGCCCCCCCACCACGTCATCTCTCCCTCCCCACCACCTATGGTCTTTGAAATCCCATTGCAGTCTGCCTCTCAAACTCCATCGTGCAAATGTGTAATCACTGTAGTTTGTCCCTGGTGTTTCCATTGGTCCTCCCCATGCCTCCTTGGGAAGGCCATTGCTGTCAGAAGGGAAATAAATGCTAGAGGTTTACACCTGGGTGAAAAAGAAAAAGGAAAAAAAAAAAGCTTTTTTTCTCTTAATTACAAAACAAGTCAGTCGTGTCTCTAGGGCACATGTGTCAAACACAAGGCCCTCGGGCCAAATCCGTCCCGCCAGGCCTTGCAATGTGGCCCGCACCGCGCTGTCATCACTGCACTCCGCTGCGTTTCCATCACAATGACAGTTTATGACTGTTCAGTAAACCATTCAGCCCGAGATTTAGGCTGGATTTTAGATTTTGGCCCCTTCTCTGATTGAGTTCGACACCCCTACTCTAGGGTGATGTGAATGCCAGACATCTTAAGGCTGACCTCGGAGGGAACAGAGGCCATGGCGGATGAGACAGTCGCTTAGTCTGGGTGCCCTGTGAGGGAGAGCCGCAAGGAAGTGAGGACTGCGGGAAGGGACTGAGCCACCTAGGCTGGCGAGCCTGAGGCCTCCCCCAGTACTTTACAAAGCTCCAAAGCCAATGTGTCCCAGACTGAGGGGAGGGGTGGGCACTTGTAACCCCAACCTCGGCCATCTCCTGAAAAATGGGAATAACCTGAGGTATTGCGGTTCTGTTAGGACAGGGCTCTCAAGGTTTGGGTGGTCCTTACTAAATGCTATCCTTGATCAATGTTAACACAGTCTTATTTTACACAGGATGAGCTCAACCTAATCCAATAGGGTAAGGTTAGCAGACCGCAAAGAAGAAATCAACATGCGACTAACCAAATCGTGTAGATAAGCAATGGCTATGGTTTCCTTCGGGGAGACAGAGCTTTGGGTGTGAATTCTGTCTCTGTTATTTGTTGCGAGTGAATAAAACTGCCTAAGGACCAACCACGCCTGGACCTTGAATAGGACACCCCAGGCAGCGAGCCCCTTGAGTTGGGTAATAGCTCTTTCTGAGAAAGGCCTGGCCACAGGGACACCGCTGAGTCACTAGCTTCCACACCCCCAGTGGCTGTGGGGTGCATCTCCCTATATTAGGGCCTCGGTGGAGGGCCACAGAATTCACTCCAGGACATACAATCCGTTCCTTGGTCGCTCTTAGGACCTTGGTCACTCACACGGCCACGGTCCCCGCCGGTCGCTGCAGAGAAGAAATCTGAGACTGGAGGGTCCGAGTAGGCTGCGCGCTCTGAGTTCTGCACTCAGACATCACGCTCTGCCCCTCCCACAGCCATCGTGAACATGTCACCGGGGCTTGTTTTTCCAAGCCCAGAGTTATTTACTGCGCAAGAAAAGGGGCAAGAGCCATAGTTCTGGAACACAAAGAGCTCCTAGTTTAGCCATAGACTTGGCCTTTGCACAAACTTTCCCAGACAGACTACCCGTCAAAACTGGGCAAGGGAAAGGACTGGAATCTCAGTTTCCACCCATGTCCTCCTCTCACCCCCAAAAAAGCTTCACCTTTGACCTTGATTTAATTCCAGAGTCTGATCAGGGCCTGATATGGGTCATAGGAGAGATTTAGGAGAGATTTTTAGGCTAGATCGCCTGTGTGGCCAGTGTCCACCTGCATCCATCCAGCTCATCCAAGGGGCGAGCATGGCCCTTGCTGGGAAGGTGATGGGGTGTCACACAGGGGAAAGTCCCACTTTCTCTGGAATGACTATAGGATATTTACAGATTTTTTTAAAGCCTAAAAACCATGGGAAGTCAATGCTGATTTTGCTCCATTGAAGGTAGAAGCCCAGCAGCATTTA